ATATAAGATACTATCTGCACCTGCGTAAACAAGAAACCGTTTTTCGCGTATGCACTTCCGTTATGGATATTTATGGAACATATGTATGAGAAGGAAATTTCACCACAGCAAGCATCATTTGGGGTGTCTAATACCTAGGTGTCACTTTTGGAAACAGTCCTGTTGAGGAAATTTGACTGACGCTCAATAAGATGTTACAGGAACATACGGTTTCCATAAGTAGGGTTAAAAAAACGTCCATTGGTAGTGGAGTACAGCCCTCGCGACAAACCACGCCATCCTGCGCGACTCCAGCAAAATAATTGGCTACTGGAGTAAGAGAAAGGCTCTTGACGCCATTATGGCTAACATACCCGTGGCAAGGTGCATGAACAAGGAGGATCAATGCTCTCAGCTCGGCGTGAATGCCGCTGCTGCAGTTGGCAGTCTGGTCTCTAGTCCATCTGCTGTAGAGCAGTTAATCGCAGTCCCGTTTCTTCCCTTCTTCGGATCAGATGCGAATGACGCTCGCCGTTCAAACAGTTGGAAGGGTAGGGTGTCCTACACCAAGTTTGACCTGTTTTACCGGTGGTTTACTGCCAGGGCACGCTGGATCGTTGCGTTTACTACAGTGAAACAGAATTGGTTCTACACAATGAAGCACGCAATCGCCGACTGCGGACTAACGTAACCGAGAGGAGCGAACGAACTAACATATCGTTGAGGAGCGAATGAAATGGAAACAGTTGACTCGACACAGCGATGCAGTGGTAGGACTATTGTGCGGCTTAACGGCCGCCGTCGCTTTTCGTACGGAATGGACAACGCAGCTTGATAAAGACGTGTACTTGGACGTTTGACTCGAAGGAGGGGATGTGCTGTTGACTCATGGGGCACAAATAACTCACAGAATCTCGATAGGCTGTTCACAAGATCGGTTGGCATAATTGTTTTTTCGCAGCCTCGTCCCTGTGTCTTTCCGGAAATACGTCGTATCGTTTTGCAATAACATTAGCGCATGCGAATTCACTCCTGTCGTTGTTCGAGACCGGCACTGATTTTCGACATGGTCGTCGTCGGTCATAACGAGCGGTGTACTCGGTGTGTAATTCGTCGTCGTGCTTCTTCTTTGATTAGCTCTGTCCGACCATGTGACTGCGTTTCCATGGCGAATTTCGTTTCCTGTTTCCGGATTTGGGTGGCGACACCTCGCTTTGATCGCTTGTCGTTTCTTCCGGACAAGGTTTTCTTCAGGCTATCTGAATCCATGGTTTGTTCGCTGATGACTGATGGGAATGACATCAAAATGCACCGGGTTGGATCACGAGTCATTTGTGGTATTCACAAGAAACGCCTTGTTGAAATTCCGACCAACCAGATGCCGGGCTTGTGCCTTCCTCCTAGGATAGTGCACCATGCAAGGCATGACATTACGGTAACCTCCGTGGAATTAGTAGAATGGGATGGAATGCATGCTCGACGATTGAGACAAGGTGCTAACAGAGGTACGCATTACGAATCACTGTAGCACACATGCTGGCCACGGTGGAACAAAGACTATCTGTTTTTCTGCCTTAGAGTCAGTGAAGTTCCTGTCGCACTGCAAAGAGAAGAATGGATATTTCGGGGAGGCTTAGTTGCAAAGTCGTACCGAGGTCGATGGCCGAGAAGAACACTAAGGAGTCGCTTCGGAATCGGAATTTGAAGACGGCTAATTACCAAAACTATATTTTTCTGTTGTTTCAGTACACCAATGAACCCATGCACCCACGTTGTTGTAAATGACGTGTACTTTCAAACATCGTGTACGAGAACTATATTTCATCTAAACTTGCGCTAGTTTTCTACCAGTCTCAGCAGATCGACAGTTATCGTTGCCAGGAAGAACCATTTTCAATCCGCTGCTGATAAATGGCCTCTCTCAGATTAGGCCACAAAATTCTCTTTTATACAATAAATTTGTCGATATCGTCTTTCCTTCGATCTGGGGGGGGGTTATTTTCTCTTGGTGCGTGCACGGTCTGTTAGAAGCCGCAGCAGGGTCACTTTTTATCTGACAGCTGTCTGTTCTTCTGACGGCATGTACATTTACTTCCTTGCATTTAAGCTTTGTAGCGCTTAGAGTGACATCATAAATTCTTGTTTGTTCTCTTAGCCATTTTTTTGTTTTTCCCACGATATACACCTTTTTGCGCTGTTGTTTCCATGAATAGCTTTGAGGCTTAGCTTCTTTAGGGTCAGGATTTCGCATTAATAGATTAGCTATGCAAGCGCGCATTGATTGAATCCATTTCAAGCACAGGATGGTTTGTTTCATAGATGGGAAAATTTTCAGCATTTCAG